TATCTTACAACTAAATCGTAGGAAGGAAGGCACACCAAAGAGGCTGGAAACGTGTCTGTTCAGTGCTCCCATGAATGGCCACAGAAACATTACGCATATGTGAAACCTGACAGTAAATGACCTCGACGGTAAATACATGGATCAGTGACATGTAGTATATTCATATAGTGGAATATTATGGATCAGTATATATGATATATATGGATCAGTAACATGTAGTATATTCATACAGTGGGATATTACTCAGCCATAAAAGGACACAAATTATTGACACATGCTACAACATGATACAGCTTAAAAATATAATGCTATGTGAAAAAAATCATACAGTGCCGTATATGATATAGTTCAAGTTACATGGGGTGGCCATATAGAGAGGCAAATCTATACAGGCAGACAGCATACAATGGCTTGGGACAGGGGATCCTGTAATAAAACCTTTATAGCTATATTAATAGCACAAACAGCTTTTTGGAGGGAGTATCATTATGGAGTTACTGCCTCAAAATGACACGTGACATGCATGATATGTACTCATGTTATTTCTGCTTAAGACTGGGTCATGTATCTAAGAGGTGCATAAAACATTTGTGTAGAGGTGGTCTGAGGAGGGAGGATCGGGCTTCTCTAAGGAACGAGGTGCTGGAGTAACTGACGAACTCGTGAACTGATCAGGAACCAGGGAGAGAAATCTTCACCAGGCTGAAGTAAAACTTGGGAGAAGGAAGTGGTTGTGAGTTTCTGTGAGCTCTGACCACAAAAATGAGTGGAAAATGGGCCTGGGTACTTAAGCACCTGCTCAAGTTTTCTCTTTGCAGACTTGTCCTAGTCAGCACTTTTAAAAGCTGAGCAAGTTAATGCCAGCTCCAGGGATACGGGAAAGTCAGGGTAAAGGAGGAGAAGAGGTAACAGGAATCTGAGCAGAGGGCGATTTAGTTAGAAGATCTGATGTTGCCTGAGAGAGGAATGAAGCTGAACTGGTGAGGAGAAACTGGAGTCTGCTTCTGGAGCAGGCCTTGTGCTGTGAAATGCATATCATACCTCCGGTGGAGACAGACTGCAGAGGAAGCTCTCCTGGGCCATCAGCAGGTAAGCGCTGCCCACCGGCTCACTGTGCGTGTTCACAGGAAGGACGGGGCTCCCAGAGTGGGATGGCGCTGGCAGCTTCCAAACCCCGCTGGAGGGAAACAAGGCCCAGAGCCCACATCTGGAATCAGGCTGGGCTGAGGTTTGCATCCTTGATGGAGCAGGGAGAGGGGCTGGGAGTCACTGTCATTTTCAGAACGGCTTTCACATTTCACAAAGAAGCAATAATTAAACTTAGGAGTGTACGTCTAATTGTTTGTATTCACTAGGGATTTATAAAGGCAAACCAGCCCCACACGCATACCTCCTCCTCTCCTCGGTCTCCTGCTCAGGGAAGGAAGCCGCCTCCTGTTGCTTTGCCTACCACACGCAGGGATGCTTACAGGACAGAACAAGCATTACAGCTACCCTGGAGCAAAGGTCCCTGGCTCTAGTGTCAGATTCTCCAGCTGTGTGGTCTCTGCAACAGGCACCCCTCCCAGCGAAGCATTCCCAGCTGGGATCCCCAGCAATCCCCAGCAATCTAGATTGCTTTGTAATCTAGAGCTCAGCATTTCCTGTGCTGCTAAACAACACCCAGGAGAGGTCAATTAAAGATGGCTGAGAAGAGCCACCGTCCACTGGCAAGACAGGGTCATCTCCATTCTGGGGGAGCAGGAGGGGCTGAGGTGCTTGGCAGCATCCCCCAGCCTCCTTCATGAAAAGCTTTTTTGGGAAGAGGGAGATTCCCTTCCAGATTCTCTTTTCTTTTCTTTTTACTTTTTATTTTTTTAAGCTTCTCTTTTCTTGATCATCAAATCAACTTTTCCTGGAAACCTAAAATTTGTCTAAACTATCCATTGGTGGTTTTTCATTTCAGGAGAAAGCATCAGAAAAGTCTCTTCTGGTTTCACACGTAGTGTGATTTCAAAATGAAGACTGACCTCAAATCATCAAGCAGAATAGAATTCCATAGCAAGCCCTTGCTGGTCCCAAGAGTGTGCTGTCCTGGTCCCCCAAGGAGATGCAAACTAAAACACAGACGAGAAATAATTGTATCCAAAGATTCGTTTCTTGGGCCTTTCTTCATGAATCATGATTTATTGGTTTTTCCTACAAACAGGTCTTTGGTCTGGGCATAAATTCACTGCAAGACGGGGCATCTGGGTGGGCAGGGGAGGGAAAAAGAGAGAGCAGGAGCTGCTGGGAGCCAGAGCTTCTTTAGACTGGAGTCTTAGGAAGAGCGAGGGGACGACCTCCAGTCCTAATCCATCTAATTAATTAGATGAAGACATCTCAGCACCTAGGACTAAGCAGGATAACTGAATAAACCAGACTTTAAATAAAGGAACAAACATTAGATGGGGCAAGCACACAGAGCCTTCTCTAAATGGATGTGACGTCTGACAGGCAGGAAAGCTACCTCCCTGGCCAAGTTTTTCATGCTCTGTTTCTTTAATTTAAAAATATCTGATTTTCAAGTAAAGATGGAATACATTTGAGGTGCACAGTGTGATGATCTGATGGATGTATATGCTGTGTAATGATCACCACGATGGAATTAATCAGCAATCCATTATGAACCATTCTGTACATTATTAATGAAATCATCCAAATGTGGTCATCTTATACCTGGAGGTTTGCACCTGCTGACCAACCCCTTTTCCTCCCTGTCAGGCCATGGGAAACACCGCTCCACCCTCCGATGCTTTAGAATCCATGCATCAGTGAGATGAGGTGGTGACTGAGATGCTATCTGTCTCTCTGTGAGATTCTGATTTGGACTTTTTACAAAGGACACAGTCACGCTGGGCTTCAGTTCTTAGCAAGCTTTTACAGGAAATGCAGAAAGTATACTAAAGACCCACGAATGTCCTCAGTGCAGCATCAGAGTCACCCCAGACTCCTCCAAGCTACAAGCCCTCATCATCTAAATCCGTGTGCCAGGAAGGGACCAGGCTGTCCAGGTCTTCATCCCAGTTCCCCTCACCCACGATGCCTTGAATTCAATCTGCAGTACTGGTTGGGGGATAAAAAATACAGGTCTTCTACTGTCACCCTGTGGGGGTTGTTGCTGTATAGGGGGTCTATACAATTGTCTATGTGGATGACATACACGGCCAACCCTCAGTATCCCTGGGGAACTTGTCCCCGGATGTTCCACAGGAATCAAACTTTGCAGATGAAGCTCAGATCTCTGCTACACCCTCTTACATATTCAAATATCTCCAGCTTGCTCATAATATCTGATGCTATGTAAATGATATGTAAATAGTTGTTACACTGCTAGAAGAAAACATACACAAAACTCGAGGCCACAAGTACCGGTCAAAGACACAGCAAGAATCAGCAAACTCACCCCAACCCTAATCCGAGCCCTTGTCCTAACCTCAGCCCTGAGTTTCTGCACAGCAAGGGAAACAGTGAACAGCAGGAAAAGACAACCTACAGATCGGAGAACACTTCGCTAGCTTCTGCTCCAACAGATCATTTATAGCTACAGTATATAAAGTGTCTCTTATACATGGCCCCACGTGAGCTCGGTGCGGCAGGACAGGCTTCAGACTTTGCATCTGGAATACAGATGATGCCATCTGGGTGACAGAACTTTTGCGGGGGAGTACCAGGAATCACACTCAGGACTTGGGCTTGTCAGGCAGGTGCTTTTGCCACTGAGCCATATCTTCAGCTCCCAGAGAGTACTTTTTGTTTATATAGGTTTTTATTTTCTATCTATCTACCTATCTATCTTTCTTTCTTCCTTCCTTTCTTTCTTTTTCTTTTTCTTTTTTTTTTTTTTTTTTTTGTCTTTTTGAGACAGGTTTCACTATGCAATTCAGGCTGGTCCTGGGCTCACTTTATAGCCCAGGCTGGCCTTGAAACTCATAGTGATCCTCCTGCCTCAGCCACCCAAGTGCTGTAGTTACAGGCATGAGCCACCATGCCCAGCTTCATGTAGGTTTTTCTGTGACCAGAGAGTTTGAGAAAATATATGAGAGCAATGGAGCTTTTAGTCAGGCGCTGCGGCACATGCCTATTAACCCCAGCTCTCTGGAAGACTGAGGAAGGAAGATTGCAAGTTTAAACCCAGCCAGGGCAAAGTACCGAGACCTTAAATCAAAAATAGAAACTATTAAACGAGCTGCGGTATAGTTCAGGGGTAGAGCACTTGCCTAACGTGCACGATGCCTTGAATTCAATCCGCAGTACTGGTTGGAGGATTAAAAAATGAAGGCATTGGCTCTGTGTTGCATGCACAGTGGGCGTATAAATGAAGTGGAGGACGATAAACACACTGGCTTTTCCTTCCCTGACTCCCAGCCCACCCTGCCCTGTCCCACACGGCTGCTAACTGCCACTGAGCCTTTTGTTTATTTGCACGACGCCCTCTGATCCACAGCCAACACTTCGAATAACTCTCTAAGGTAGAAATTATTATGAACACTCCCAGAGTACGGTGGCTCGATGTAGGATTTCCAGTCTCGACGACAGCTTATACATGCAAAAACAACTACTTTAGATTTTAAATCCTGATCTTTCCCTGGGCGGCTGACGTAGAACGAGCATGCTGCCTTTCCCTCTGAGCACAATATGCGATGAACTGTGTGAGCTGTGAGCCAGGCTTTGCACTGGGCGCTCCTGGCTGTGAGCTAACTCGAATGTTCTGAGAAGGTTAGAGGCAGGTGAGGCTGCTGGAGGCAGCTGCCATCCACGGTGTTTGCAGCGTACATCCGTGTTTCATGGGCTGCGAGCCCAGTGCAAGTCAAGGTTCATTTGTAACCCATTTGACAGAGGAGGCAACTGAGGGTCACAAAATTAAATGTGCTCCAGTCACTCTGGCTGGTCAGTGGTGGGAAAGTATCTGATTCTGAGGGCAAAGTGTCTGTTATCATGTTATGGCTCATGTCCCACCTCTGCCCCAAACCCTCACCTACCTGCAAAACTCTCCTTCCGACTCCGGCAGCATCAGTGAAGCCATGGGGTTCTTCATCAGGTCGGCCACCACGGGGTCCCTGGCTGTCACGTAGAAGAAAGGTGTCCCTGTGCCATTGTTGAAGGGGCCATCGCTGACAAGCAGGCAGCTCCCAAAGGGCAGCCCCTGGAGCTAAGGGACACCAGAAAAGCCATCTCAACTGCTGAGCTTTGTGGATGGACGTGAGCTGAGAGCTGACCTGTGTCCCTGGCCAGGAAAAACAACACAGGGGCCCATCACAAGGGTTCCAGTCCATCCAGCACAGCCAGAGGCAGCTCTGGGATTTCTCTGGAGTGGGTGCACAGCAGGGCCTGTCTCTCTGGGTTACGGAGTTATTCTTACTTGTTTGTGTGTTTACTTTTGTGTTTTTCTGAGACAGGGTCTCACTATGCAATTCAGGCTTATTTTGAACTCAAGATGTAGCCCAAACTGGTTATGAATTTAAGGTGATTGTCCTGTTTCAGCCTCCCAAGTGCTGGGAATAAGACATGCACCACTGTGCCTGGCTATAGGATTATTCCTGAAGCTGTCTCTGAACAGCAAAAAGTGTCCACTGTGTTGAAGTTAACAGCATTTGAGGGAGAGGCAGTGACACTAATGGGGTGGTGGTGACCCTAAACTCTATCTATAAGCTACCCCTTAAACATCCTTTACCTGTACTGCCTCCCCCAAATTTCTGGTGACTTTGGGGATAAAATTTAATTCTTCCCTTTAATATCTTGCTTGGTCTTTGATGCCAGGGACATTCTATGATTTAGGGCTACACTACTTTCTCATGTACTAGCTGTAATTTTACTGTAAAATAATATCATTTCATGATAGAACTCAGCAAGTTATAAGAAACTGATTTGTTAGCCTTGAGCATAAAGGAAGCTGCAGACACACAACATACCAATTTTTCTTCATGAATATCCAGGAGGGTGTATGAAGGGGTATGTCATATTTCTGTGACTTCCAACAAAGACAAAGTACTAAAGTCTTGGGTTTTTCCAAATCCTGCTAATGCAGTGACCCAATCATCTATGAGTTTATTCCCAAAGCACACCTCCCTAGGAGGCTGAGGCAGGAGAGTCACAAGTTTGAACTGGCATAGGCATCTTAGCAATTTAGCAACTCTCTTTAAAAAGAAATTTTAGAAAGGGCTGAGGATGTAGCTCCATGCAGAGGCCCTAAAGCCAATCCCCAATACTTCAAACAAACAACAGCAAGGAGACAACTGGAATACTTAGAACTCAGGGACTGTCTCTGAAGTCTTGCATGACAACTGTGTGTAAAACTGTAAGTGGAAGGACTTTACACTTCTAAGGAGATCTAACACTAAGGAGTCCTTAAGTGGAATCACCTGATCACTCACAGATTCTCACGTCTAGGTGACGTAAACTGCTAGACTTCGTGCACATGAGACTTCACATACAAATGTGTCCTGAATTTGAGTTTGCGTTCAGTGGGAAGGACCCTAACAAAGCAGACAAGAGCTTTGTAGAAGTCAAAGTACTTTTTCTTTTCTTTTTTTGGTTCCAGGAATCAAACTCATGACCTTGTGCTTGCCAGGCAGGAGCTGTGCCACTGAGCTAAATCCAAAACCCTGAGCTGGGGCAGGAGCCCGACCCCTGACCAACGTCCTAGCATCCTAAGAATTCCCCCTTCTTTCCTGTCCAGAAAAGTCCCCCTTCTCTACCACAGGCCTGAACTCCTGGCTTCACACGGAGCTGCACTTCCTGCTCCTTCTTAAATTTTAGTTTGAGGCCGGTCTCATGAAGTTGCCCAGGGTGGGCTGGAACTTGCAATTTTCCTGCTTTATCCACACAGAGTGCTGGGACTACAGGCATGTAACCGGAAACCCCTGCTGATTGCATTTTTGAAATGCAGATTTCCAAAGTGCAGTAGCACTCCTCAGTAGGGCCAGTGGCCTTCTGGTGGCCCCGTTGTGGCCCGCTCTGCGGTTCCCAAGGCCACGCTGGCCCTTTTGTCCAGCCTGGGGCAGACACTGGTTAACTGGACCTCTCTTGGGTCACCTCCAGACAGGGTGCAGCCCCTGCCAGGAAACCTGGTTGTCAGGTCCGCTACTTGCCCCCCAACGCTCCCTTTGCCAGTGCGACCCACTCCCACGCAGGTGGCTCTGGCGATCTGCAGGGCGCAGCCAGTCCGCCCAGGTCCGTGGGTGCTGACCCCGCACGTGGACTGGTCACCAGCCCAGGAGACCCAATCCCCGAGTCCCCACGGGTCATCTACGCAGCCCGCGGCTCTTACCTTGTCGCGCGCGGCCACGGCGGCCACGCAGCCCCAGGAATTCGCGTGAGCCAGCGAGCGGGCGAGGCGGGCGCGCGGCGCGGGGCCGAAGGCCGCGGGGGCGGCCGGGGGCGCGGGACGGCGCTCGCGGCGGTAGGAGAACATCCCGGGGGCCGCGGCGGGGCGCGGTGGGGCGCGGGGGGCTCCGGTCTCGTGCGCTGCGGCGGCCGGGAAGCTGCGCTGCCAGAGGCCGGCCGGGTCCTCCAGCAGCGCGGGCAGCGCCTCCTCCGTGGACGCGCTGTCCAGCTCCTCATCCACCTCGTTGGGGACGGCCCAGGACACCGAGCTCATGAGCACGTAGCCCGCGGCCGGCGACAGCAGCGCGCAGCAGCACAGCAGCCAACCCAGGCTGCTCGGGGACATCTTGCAGCACGGCCTGGGGACCTGGCGGGCACGGCAGCACCCCCCGGCGGTCCGGGCGCGCAGTGGCGCCCCGACCTCTGCCCGCCGCAGGGTCCCCACGCGGGCCTTGTGCGTGCGGGAACCGAGGCTGCGGGGAGCGGGCGCCGCCCCAGGCTGCGCGCACTGTGCGCACCGCGCAGTCTGCACCACGCGCGCCCTCGGCTTCCCCGGCGGGGTGCGGGGAAGAAGGCCGTAAAAGCCGGCAGGTGCCTGGGGCTACCGCGCAAATAGGCTATGGGCTTTTCTTACCAGCGGCTCAGACGGAGGTGGGGGACTGAGCCAGCGGGGTTCAGGGGAAACAAACCCCTCTTTCACCCTGTCCAAGCCCCTTGGTCTTCCCCAGAGGACCCAGACCTTCTCACACCGTCAGGGGGCGCTTCCCCCGTTCATCGCCAGGCTGAATCCACTATTCACTTGGTCAGGATGAGATGTGTGTGGCCCAGGGCTTCCTGTGTTGAGATTTAGTCCCTGCAGTGAGGAATTAAGGACAGAAACTTGATCCTATGGTCGCGATAGAAGCAGAACCTTCACGAGATGAGGAGGACTCGGTGAAGCTGTGAGGGTGACCCAGGATGACGCCCAGAGGTGTAAGAGGAACGGCAGGGGCCACAGGGACAGGCGCATTTAGGGAGCCCTTGACGCTGGAGACTGATCACAGGTGTGGGGCAAAAGCAAGGCCAGCCCTGAAACCCCAGAGAGCCTAAAACAAGCCCCGTAAACAAGCTAATCCAGCTCCAAAAAAGGCAAAGGGCCCAGGCCAGCCAGGCCAACAGGTTGCCAGGCAACATCATTGAAAGTGAAGTCATCCTTCTGAGTGTATAAATAAAGGTGCCCAGTGGTGGAGCAGCTCATTCCCTCCCATCAGGAGAGCACGGGCTGCACCTGGCCCCAGCTCTGTCTCTTCTTTATCCTCATCCTCTCACGCCCTTCTCCCTGGAACATCTGGGGCTGCAGCGGTCGCTACAGGCGCAGGCCACACATCTGCCTGCACTTGCCGCGGGATGCCTGGGCAGACTCGGACTCTTCCAGCCCGGAGGCATCAAGGCTGTGCCCCTGCGGTTTGCACTGCCAGTGCAGCCAGGATCAACCTCTTTCCTCTGTGACTTAACCAGGCTATGGTGTTGTGTTACTGGAAGAAAAGAACAGACGGACACACACCACGCTCTTAAAATGTCCTCTTACTGGCAAATGCTTGGATTGTGTTCAGAAATGACATTTTACAGATACTAAAAAATTTTAAATTAGTTACTGTTTCTTCTGCTTCGACAGCCACAAGCTATTAAGAGACATATTCTACTCCAGATTTTGGGCTGAAAATCTAATAATCCTGTTCCAGATTTGTTCCGCATGAAAAGAATTGAAACAGCACATTATTATTATTATTATTATTGTTATTGTTATTGCAAATGTCACCAAAGTATGGCATATGACTTGGCGAATGATCTATGGTTGCCCCCTCCCTGTCCAGCTACCTTCCCCTCTCCTCATCCACCAAAGCCAGTCTGAGGGAAAATGTCTATTCCGTGTCTGGGAGGTTCCCCGGCTCCTGTTCCCAATCCAGGCTTTCCAGGGTGGTTTTCCCAGCCTCTCTCTTAGCGTGATGCCCTGCAGCCCAGCACCTGGCCCACCGCTCCTCCTCCTTCAGGTCTCCTCTGTTTTTCCTGGCTGTGCATTCTCCATCTCCTTCGGGGAGCCCAGTCTCTCCTGGAGCATCTCTGGCCGAGCCTTGCTCTCCCCATCTCCTGAAGTAACCGCATCTCCTGCCTTGGCTTCTGCCAGGGCTTGGTGCTGCTCTGTACCCGCCTCAGGCTCTCCGCCTGCATCTCCATCTCACTGGATCTCCCCATCCCTGCAGTGCTGTGCCCATCTTCTTGACAGCAGTCCAGTCAGTCATGGAAAACAAGGGCTCTGGGTCCAAGGTCCAGCCTACCCTTGGCCTCCAGCCGTGTGACAAACCATTTCCTCCCCCCCATCCTGCTTTGTGATTTCCACCTGGGATGTCAGATGCCACTTCGGTGCATGCTTTTTGACTTTGCAGAGGAGAAAGGACAGGCATTGTGGTCTCTGGGAAGGGAGCCCTAGAGGCTGCCTGCAGGCTGGCCTCTTACTCCCCCCCCCCTCCTCCAGGGGTGGTGACATCTGGCAGAGGGGATGGGAAAAGGACCTGAGGGACATGCTGGTTTCTGAAGGCTCTGTCTACCCTCGCCTGCCAGGCCTGAGTGGATCCTGAGGCAGAAGTGGGTGGCTTCCCTGTCCCGCCCAGAGTCTGAGGGAGTGCGTTCAGTTGCAAACCCTAAAAGGAGTCCTCTTTGGTCAAAATTTCCCAATTAGCTTCTTCCCTCTAAAGTGTTTTGGTTCTTGTGCTTCATTTCCTGATTAGACCCAAGCTCAGCGGGTCAGCAGTACCCATCTTCCCCATATGCCATGCACCAGGTTAGCCACTTCATTCATCTGGCATTTTCTGCCAGTATTTAATAGGTCCTCCTGCTCAACTTTTAGGAGGTAGTTTTTATGAATCTCTTGCTTTCCTAGAGCCCAGACCTGTTTAAATAGCCTTGAAAAGCTAGAGACCTTGTAGCCTTCGGGAGAGATTTAGAGCCTGTTCTCTCAAACCTACTAGCTTAGAGACCTGTTCCTCCAGGTCACAAAGATAGCATTGTGAATGTGTTTTAATTTTATTATATGATGTCCAACTGATTTTTAAAAAAAATTTTTAAAATATATCTTATCTTTGAAATAGCTGCCATGCCACCAGATATAATAAAATCAAACCAAACAAAACAGAATAAAACCCAACCTAACCAAACAATGAGAATGATATAGGATTTTAAAACAAGATAATAGGGAATTAACAATGGCCACCATCTCTAAGGAGATCCCTTACAGTTGCTGTATTGTTTATTGTTATCCTGTGAATAGGTGATCAGACTATCTGCTTTAGGCCTGGGAAGTCAGTGAAACACTAAACACTACAAGCATTAGGTTTGTATTTTATTTAAATGGCTATCGTCACAGCTTGTGTTTCTTTGGATCAGCTGGTCACTTACGGGGTGGGGTGTGGGAGAAACCTTGGCTCTTCCGTCTCCCGGCCAAGGACAGGACAGGGGTGGTGTCTGGTTCTCCTTCCCTCACAGGGAACTCACAGGAAGAGGCTGGCTTCTCCCATCATTATATTTTTCATTTGTGCCTTCCTGCTTAGTGACTGGTCTCCTAGAGCATCTTCTGTGTGCCTGCTGGCTGTTTATGGCTCTTCTTTGGAGAAACGTCTATTCAAGTTCTTTGTTCATCTTTAAACAACCTGTATGCATGTGTATGTGTGTGTGTGCACATGAATGTGTGCATGTGTATGTCATTAAGCTGTACGGGTCCCCTGTAGTTTGGATACTAGCATCTCATCAGAGATACGGTTCACAAGTATTTCCTCGCATTCTTCAGGCTGCCTTTCACTCTGGCGAGTGTTTCCTTACCACGTACACACACTTCAGTTTGATGCTGACCTATTTTTATTTTGTTGCCCTGGACCTGGTGTCAGGTTCAGAAAATTATTGCTAAGACCAATGCTCTGAAGCTTTCTAAGAGTATTAATCAGATGCTTAAATCTTCAACCCATTTTGAGTTAATTTAGTGTCTGGCATAAGAAAAGGGTTCAGTTTCATGATTTTGTATGCAGATATCCAATTTTCCCAGGACTGCTGTTGAAGAGACTGCTTTTCCACATCACATTATTTCAGTGCTTCAGTGCTGAAGGTTAGTTGATGTGTGTGGCCTTAGACCCCTCAGAAAACAATTCTTACCCAGGTCTGGTTACCTGTAATCCCAGCACTTGGGAGGCTGAGGCAGGAGGATTGTTGTAAGTTCAAGGCCATTCTGGCTACAAAGTGAGTTCAAGACCAGCCTGAACTGCAGAGTGAGACCCTGACTCAAAAAGATGAAAAAGAAAAGTAAAGAATTCTTAGTTTTGTTAATTCTTACAATTATTTCTCTATTTTCCATTTTGTTTGTTTCTACTCTTTAGTTTCCTCCCTTCAGCTGATTTTGGGCTTAGTCTATTTGCCCTTCTTTTAAGATATTAAATTGAGTTGCTTGTGATCTTTTAATTATTGGTGTTCACTGCTATAAGCTTTCCTCTTATTACTGTTTTTGTCACATCTACATGTTTTTGCATATTGTGTTTCATTTTCTTTTTGTGTGTGTGTGTGTTTCATTTTCATTTGCCTCGAGAAATTTTTAAAAATTCTCTTTTGGTATTTCTTCTTTGACCCATTGCATGCTCAAGAGTGTATACTTCCCCCTATTTTAAAATTTTCTAGTTTTCCTTCCGCTGTTGCCTTGTAACTTCCTCTCTTTGTGGCCAGAAAAGACATTTTGTATAACTTCAATCTTATGAAACATGTTAAGCTTGTTACATGATGTAACAAGTGAATTATGCTGTAGCATATTCTGTGTTTGAGAAGAATGTGTATGCTACTGATGTTGGATGGAATTTTCTATGTCTGTTTGTTAGGTCTATTTTGTCTGTGATAGTGTTCAAGCCCTCTGTTATCTTATTGACCTTCAGGATGATTATGCGTTACTTAAAATGAGATGTTGAAATCTACTGCTATTGCGCTGCTGTCTATTTCTCTCCATGTTGTGTGTGCGTGCACTCCCTGGGATTGAATCCAGGACCTTGTGTGTGCTAAGCATACATGCTACCTCTGAGTAACACCCTAGACCATCCTGTAAGTTTTGTTAATGTTTACTCCTGTGTTACCTGATTGAGTGTTGAGTTTAGACACATTCATTGTAAACTGATTTAACATTATGTCATGACTTTCTTTTGTTTCTTATGGTAGTTTTGAGCCCTAATCTATTTTGTCTCCTAGAAATATAACCACTTCTGTTCCCGGTTTTCCATCTTTTCACTTTCCATCTATATGTGTCCTTATGACTAAGTTGAATCTTTTATAGACAATACGGTTTTTGTTTCTTAAATCCACGCCATCTTTCATTGGGAAGTTTGAGCCATTTACATTTAAAGTAATTACCAATAAGGGAGGACTAGCAACTGTCATTTTATTGTTTTCTGTCTTGTACCATTTTATCTCTCTTTTCCTCTCCTGTCATCTTTCTTTGTGTTCATAGATTTTTCTGTAGTGACACGCTTGGAGTCTTTTCCCCTTTTTTATGTGTGTATCTCTTATGTGTATTTTCTGTGGGGTTACCATGAGGCTTGTATAAAGCATAGTTACAACAATCAGTTTGAAACTGATAACTCAGTTTCAGATGTTTACAAAAATCCTATTCTTGCTCCTTTCTGGCTTCGTTACTAATGTAACAAATTACATTTATTTTGTGTTCTATATTCATTAATATATTTTTTAGTTCTTGTTACTTGTTACACTTCTTTTTGTATGTTTGAGACAGGGTTTTGTTATGGAGTTCAGGCTGACCTCCAACTCACTCTGTAGCCCAGGCTGGTCTCAGACTTGCACCAATCCTCCTGTCTCGGCTTCCTGAGTGCTGGGATCAGAGGCATGCACCACCATGCCCAGCTCCCCAGTGTTTTGCTTATCTGGAAAAGTCTTTTGCTTCTACATTTTTGAATGGCAGTTTTACCAGACATATGATCCTTTTGATAGTTTTTTCTTTCTGTATCCTGAATGTGTGTCCTAATACTCTTTACAGCCTAGAAGG